CTCTCTCTCTCTCTCACACACACACACACACACACACACACACACACACACACACACACACACACACCATCATAAACACAGACACACACAGTAGTAAAACTGCAGATTCAATACATAAATCTGGAACGTCTTCACCACGTGTAGTATCTTTTATCTTCTATCTCTACAAAACGGAACAAAATTACAGTGCTTAGGCTTGTTGGACAAACTGAAATGATTCAAATCTGTTCTTTGGATAATCACGATTTATTTTCAAAGATTATAGATAGATTGTCAATTACAAAAATTGTATTAAAAGTAGCAGGCAGTAAATAAGCACCAGTGGGGTCTGAAACCTCTCCTGAGAAGAAAATAACAGGCTGGATGGCAGACGGAGCTACACACTTCCCACTTCTCAAGAGCATGAGAGGTTGAACGTGTGTGGAATTATGAGCCTTAAGCAGGGGTTGGTCTCCTTAAAGGGATAGTTCAACCCAAAATAAAGATTTTGTGACCAATTACACATCTTTATGTTGTTCCAAACCCTTCTGTGGAACAAAAAATAAAATATTTTTCAATATATAATCTGCTTTTTTCCATACAATAAATATATGAATGGGGACTGGCTGTAGAACTCCAAGAATACACTACAAAAGCACCATAAAAATGTTTAATACGATTTGTGCAGTACATACATACATATGATGCTTTATGTGATAAAATGTAAAGGAGTTAATAAAATGTTTGCCTTTGAAATAGGTCTCATATCTGATTTGCACTTGCTTTTAATTTAAAAATGCAGCATTGAGGTGTTTTACCATACGTGCATTTTTCTGCATATTTTGGCATATCAGATAAAAATGCTGAATGGAAAAACAATATGCAAATAGCATTTCCAAAAAAGAGCATACAACTACATATGCACACTTAAGGTGGATATTTTTTTATTTTTTTATTCAATTCAGCACTTCCACACAAATGTTTAAGGTCAGTTTAAAAAAAAAACCTCTTAACAAATGTAAGGGTTTTTTTCCCCCTATGAAATTAATACTTTTATCCATCAAGGATGCTCAAAAGTGACAGTAAAGATTACTGTAAAGACATTTTACTGTCCTTTTGAAATCTGTATTCATCAAAAAATCCTGAAAACATGCATCACAAAACTATTAAGTAGCACAACTGTTTTCAACATTGATAATAACAAGAAATGTTTCTTAAGCACCAAATCAGCGTAACAATTTCTAAAGACTCATGAAAAAGTTATGTTGAAAATTCAGCTTTGCCATCACAGGAATATATTACATCGTAAAATATTTCTACAATTTAAAATAACTATATTTCTATATATTCTGTTTTAACTGTATTTTTATCAAATGAATGCAACCTTGGAGAGCATTACAGCCTTATTTTTAAAAAGCAAATAAATTATTATATTTAATAAAGATCCACAGTGGTTACAACATCCCATTTCTATTTTGCCATAATTTGCCCTGGAAGTGGAGATTTCATTCTCTTGAACATGTGCAATGAAAAAGCTAATTCACAGTTCACGGGAACATACGGCAAGTAATGACTTTAACGTCTCAATGTCTCATGACCACTTACAACTGACATAAAAACCTGTTGTCAATTTTTGGGTGAATGATTCCTTTCATTTCTGCAATTTTGCACATTTCATTTGCTACCATTAAACTAATATATACAGTATAAAAGGATTCTATTCTATATCAGCCACTGAAAAACCCATCGTTTGACCACCAGCTGAATCACTCTTCTATGAAACGCTCTTCTGTTTGTCTAAAGCAGGGGTGCCCAACCCTGCTCCTGGCGATCGACTGTCCTGCAAAGTTTAGCTCCAACTCTAATCAAAGACACCTGCCTTTAATTTTTAAGTGATCCTAAAGACCCTAATTAGTTGCTTCAGGTGTGTTTGATTAGGGTTGGAGCTGAACTTTGCAGGACAGTCGATCGCCAGGAGCAGGTTTGGGCACCCCTGGTCTAAAGGAACTGGTCTACATATGAATCTAGACATAAAAATGAGGAGCTGATGGATTTCCTGAAATAATACATGAGCCGATGAGACCTTGATTTTGAGGTGAGAGCGAGTGGCATCTCATAAGGCCGTTAGTGTGATGAGAAAGCACAAGTTCAGAAGGGGCGCTGGCTGCTTCCTTAAGGACCATCAGCTGGATTTCCTCTCTAATGGCTGCACATTACTTATGACTGAATAGAAAAGAGTCGGGCCAAAGAGAAGTCCAAGGCTCTTTGTGACAAAATAGCCAATTACTTTTGAAAAGCTGGGGGCCGCGGGGCAGGTTTCACAGAGGGTCCGCACCAAGAAAGAGAGGAAAATTCATAATGGTACAATAAACTCCTGCCAGGATCTGACATTTATTCACCTTCCATCATAGGAAATCTAATCTTTCAACCTCACAGGATAAGTTAGTGCTTTTTACTGCTGTCCATTAACAACACAGCCTTTTATTCTGTATATAACTTTTTTATAAAGCAAAAAAATGTTTTTGGTATGACGATGGACATTGTCCATTTCTGTGAAATCTGAAAGGCAATCAAAAGTGTATTTTTGTACAATATTGGCATAAATCCTGATAATTTCTTGGCAATATTGAATTACAGTTATTTGAAATTACCAGTGAAGACCAGAAATTCATTTTCATTACATAATATTGGCAATACATACACATGAAAGTCAGGAGTGATGCCTGATTACTGGATTAAATTAATTCAATTTGGCTCAGGTTTCTTTTTTTAAAGATTTTATTGGGTTTTATTTAACACCTTATAGCTTATAGGTTAGTACACAACACATCAATACAAAAAAAAAAAGGCAAGAAAAACTCTCCTCAAACCAATCTAAGCTGGTTTGCTGGTCTTAGATGGTCTAAGCTAGTTTTAGCTGGTTTAAGATGATCTCTCCCAGCCTGGCCAAGGTGTTTAGTTGGTTGATTAGCTGGTCTGAGCAGCTGAAAATTGCCCAAAACGACTCTAAAATCAGTCAGACTAGACAGAGACAAGCCAACTAGTTTTTGCGGTTTTAGGATGTTTTTTTTTCACCATTAAGATATTTTTAAGATGTTATTTTTTAAAGATGTCTTACGTTTTTGCTTGATTTTTTTAAATGTATTTATTTGTTTTTAATTTTAATGATTTTTTTTTATTACATTTTTTACTTTATTTATTTTTTCCCCCCTTTTTAACACCATGTCAGCTTCAATGGTTATGCTCATGGCAAGAGCTAGGTTTAGTAATTCAAAATTAAAACTAACTGTTTAAGATTAGTTTAAGACTAAACCTTTTGATTAAAAACCTTTTTTTTTTTATTTAATAAAATGTTTTCAGAATTTGTGTCATTCCTGAATAGTGCATATTCATCATAAAATGTTCTGATCTGATCTGATCTGATCTGATCTGATCTGATCTGGTCGATCGATCGATTGACATAAATTTATAAAATCCAGTCCTGGATGCTGATTGGTCGACACAGTGTTGCAGTTGTGCTAAAAAACACAATATAGCAACATCCACTTGCTTTGTGTCAGTACAATGCAATACAATTAAACACACACTTACGTGACTGGTGCTCGACTATCGAGTACAGCTCCTCTTGGTCACTTTCTGATTGGCTGAGCTGGAAAGAGACAGAATGGATGTAACAATCTCAAGCCCTGTGGCAGTTTTAAATGCAAAACACTCTTTGAATGGGTCTGAAGTGGTCCCGATATGGCAGGTGCTCTGATGTCACATACCAGTTTGAAAATGATCCTCGCCACCAGGCAGACGGAGTCGGTGGGGATCCGTGGCTGGAGGCGCTTGAGGCATTTGCATTCCCTCTTGTGATCGGGCCATGCTTGCTTCTGAAGGGTGAAGATGAGGATAAAGCAGAGAATAAATAGAAGAGATTTCACAAACAAATAAATATGATGATGTTTACACATCTTCAATCAGAACGTGCTTTCTGTGTGGTCTCCCTTTAGAGGGAATTATGATGAAAGGCCGCCCTACAATTACAGAAAGACAAAGACAAACTTGACAACAATGAGTGCCTGAAGAGAACGGAGCTGGTTTGACAGTGACAGCTTTGCTATTTTAAAGCAGCTTGACGTCTAGTTTTGAAAGACTGGATGTTCATGAACTGCAAAGACTTCTGCAGAGCATGTGAAAGACACATTAAAGAGATATTTCACTCCAAAAATGAATTCTGTCATGATTTATACCTCACGTCATTTCCAAACCTGCATGACTTTCTTTCTTCTGGGGTTAGCAGAACGCTCATGCTGTTCTTTAAAACTGTTCTTTAAAACAGCATAGAAGTAAATAAGGAAGGACAAAGTCCTAGAAGTAGCCATTATAACTCTTCTGAAGTTTTACGATAGCTTTGTGTGAGGAACAGAACAATATTTAAAGGGGTCATATGATGCAATTTCACATTTTCCTTTCTCTTTGGAGTGTTACAAGCTGTTCGTGAATAGATAAGATCCCTAAAGTTGCAAAGACTAAAGTCTCAAACTAGGGCTGTGCAATTAATCGCATGTGATTGTCATGCGCATCTAGTCAGTAAAGCCGGTTCCATGATTAGTAGTAAATCTCCATCACCTGCTTTCAGATGGAGCGGCATTTACTACACAGAGCTGTAGTTCACCGACAATTAGGCAATATCGCGTTCATAATTACAGATGAATCGCATTCGATTATGAACGCGATATTGCCTAGTTTGTCAGTGAACTACGGCTCTGTGTAGTAAATTCCGCTCCATCTGAAAGCAGGTGATGGCGATTTACTACCAATCACGGAACCGGCTTTACTGACGAGATGTGCATGACAAATCGCATGCGATTAATTGCACAGCCCTATCTCAAACCCAAAGAGATATTCTTTATAAAAGTTAAGACTTGTCCACGCCCTCCTAAAACATCTTGTTTAAACACGGGGCCGAAGCAGCGCGGGGTCGTCACATGTGGTTGCCACAAGCCCGCCGGCCACTCCTTCGTCAAATTCGCCGGCCGCCGCTCAATCTAGCCCGCCGGCCGCTGCTCACTCAAGGCCGCCGTGTGTGACGCTGTGTGTTTCATTGTGAAAGCGAAACTACTTTGTTTGGCCTTCCAAAAGAGGACACAACTAGAAATCAGTGGTTAAGTTGTATTTACAACACTGTTCC